ACTGCTCAAGGCTTCAATACCCAAACATATGTGCACACTTTGCTCTCGTACAAGTCCTCCTCAATGTCCTAATACCTCGCAGCTACGTCTTCCCATATGTATGCATATAAAGATGTTACAGAATATCTCAAAATACGTAGTTATAAAAAAATTGTTTCTGCACCACGGTAGTACAGTGGAGTCAGTGTGCAACAGAAATTGAGCTTCTTCAAACACCACCACAGCGATGAAAGTAAGCTTATTGCTACCAAATCTTTGCCAATGTAATGACTTGTTTTCCCTCCCACTGTATCAATAAATCCCATATTACCACTTAAAGAGGCACTAAACCATTTTCTGCGATAGTCTACTTATGGTCTTAACTCAATCTATGGGCTCTAAGCATTCTAAAAATACCAAACAGTACATACATGCACGGCCGATTTCTCTAAAATTGATATCAAAGGTCAATAAATCAGCTTGGGCGAATAGGTGGTTCATGCTTACACTTCACAGTGCACAAGAGCAAATGCACCTCAAAAGTTCACACACATAAAGTAAGAACACTCACAATGCACTAACTCCCAACTCTGGTTTGTATTGTGCTTCATCTTCATCTTCTTTTACTCTTATATATAAAAAAACTAATTTGAGCTATGGCTGGTATAACTAGGCAACGTTTCCTAAATAGTGTAACTCATTTTTTTTTTTTTACAAATTTACTGAAAGGGTTTAAAAGTAAACGAACTGATTGATGCGCATGTACCCGTCAGGCGTATTCAATCTGATGCTAAAGCACCTTGGTATACTAACACCCTAAAACGTCTTTCCAATAAAAAACAGCGACTTTTTCGTTCAGCTAAACAACGTAACACGATTGATAGGTGGGAAGCATACTTTGCAGCTGAGGTCGAATATTCCCGAGCTGTATCTGACGTCAAAGAGAATTTTTTTAAGAACACTTTACCGGGTCTATTGTTGAATGACCCCAAAAAGTTCTGGAAGACTGTTAATATAAATGACGACGGCTTAATTTCTCTTAGCGATGAGTCTGGGGCGTTAATCCCTCCAGCAGAATATCCATCAGTGTTTAATAATGTTTTTTCAAATAGTTTTTCTGTAGCTGATGGAAATGTATCGTATGACGTTCCACGTTGTGAGTTTAGCCCTATGTTTCCAATTTCCATGGAACCTACTGGAATTGTAAAGTTAATTGATTCTTTGAAAGTATCATCGTCATGTGGAAGCGATAATATTAACTCAAAATTTCTAAGACAAACTAAAATGTACTCATCCTTTTTTTTGGCCAAAATTTTCCAGCAATCTCTTGAGTGTGGAACGCTCCCAATAGAATGGAAAACTGCGAAGGTGGTTCCACTGCATAAGTCCGGTAACAAGCATTCTCCATTAAATTATCGACCCATTTCACTAACAAGTATTCCTTGTAAAATAATGGAGCACATTTTGTACTCTCATATTTTCAATTACTTAGAATCCAATTCATTTTTCGCTCCTGCTCAACATGGTTTCCGTCGCTCATTTTCTTGTGAAACGCAGCTGCTTCATTTCACCCATTGTTTGCATGCTATACTGGACAAAAACCATCAGGCTGACTGTATTTTTCTCGATTTTTCTAAAGCATTCGACAGGGTTAATCATAAGTTACTAATGCTTAAACTTTCTTCATTAAGCCTAGATCCTGGCTTGTTAACCTGGCTGGAATGCTTTCTAACCAACCGCTCACAATATGTAACTCTAAATGGCGTTAATTCATCCCTGACTGATGTTATATCGGGCGTACCCCAAGGTTCAGTTTTAGGCCCGCTTCTTTTTCTAATATTCATTAATGATTTACCAAGTTGTGTTTCTTCCTCCATGCATTTATATGCAGATGACTGTGTAATTTATCGGGAAGTTCATGATGATGATGACGTACGCATTTTGCAATCTGATTTAAATAATATTACTCTTTGGTGCAAAAAATGGCGTATGGAATTAAACCCTAACAAATGCAAACTAATGTGCGTTTCCCGGCAAGGCGCACGCCCTTCAAAATATACACTAACCGACATTCAACTTGAATCTGTAAACTCATACCGTTATCTGGGTGTTACTATATCGTCGACATTAACCTGGAAGCCTCATATTGATATAATAATCGCCAACGCTAACCGCATGTTAGGATACTTACGACGAAACTTCAGAACGGCCCCAGTTAACTTAAAACTTCTTCTTTATAACACTCTTGTACGGTCAAAATTGGAATACGCAGCCTCTATTTGGGATCCTAACCACACGTTTCTGCATAAAGCTCTCGAACTAGTTCAAAATAACGCCGTTCGTTTCATTCTGTCTAATTATAATCGAACAGCTAGCATATCATCAATGAAATCCAGTTTATTGTTACCCTCTTTGTCATTGCGCAGAAAGTTTTTTCGACTTTGCCTGTTTCATAAAGTGTATCATCATCAGTCGCTGCGAGACCATTTCTTTACATTGCCTAGCTATTACTCTTCCCGTCTGGACCATCGGAATAAAGTTGGATTAACACGTTGCCAAACAAACACTTTTTTTTATTCATTTATCCCGCATACATCAAACGACTGGAACCACCTTCCAGCAGATATCGCAACTATACCTGATTATTCTCTTTTTCGCCAATCTTTGTCTACATTTCTGTTTGGTGAGCCAACATGAGTCATTTTATTTTGTTTTTTTTTTCCGTAAAATATATTGCTTGCCGCTTTTGCCAATGGCTGTGCGTTTTTGATATTTCAATTTCTTGTTGTTTGTTTTTTATTGTTTTGTCAGTTTGTTTTATTTTGCTTTGCCCCTCCCCTCTACAATGCTTCGGCGCTTGAGGGTATGTACAATAAATAAATAAATAAATAAATAAATAAGCTATGTAGCGTGACAATGATTGCAATTTCTATGACGTCTCGCGTAAGTTTGTTATTGCTCCTGCCCAGTACAGTACAGTTGGCCAGAGGTGGAGAACACCCGCAATCTCGACAATGGAAGCCTAAATGACCCGAGTAGGCCTTGACGGCGTTGTTATTGTGTTCCCGAAGTCGGTCGTTGAGACATCGTCCTGTTTGTCCGATGTAGCGCTTTCCACAGGAAAGGGGAAAGGAAGAAATCATTTCCTCTGTGCAAGGAACAAACTTAGTTTGGGGGTTCTTGGTGCAGCACGCTGGTCGAATAGAAGGCCCATTTACCTTCTTACATAAGGTGTGTTTGTTCTTGTGCGCTGTGAAGTGATATCAAAGATTGATTACCTCGGAACTATCGCAGACACCAGAGGGCCCCGTTGGACGAGGAGGAGAGGTCGAGGACTAGTTAGAGAGAAGCTGAAGAGGTTCTTGAAAACAAAAACCAGTTAGAGATGAATTCAAGCATATTTTTGTCTCGTGAATTTGAACATCACAAGCATTTGACCCGAACATATCAATAGATGCGAGAAAAACCGAAAAACCAGCCGCTGGGTGGGAAGTCATTCCCAGAGGTTTCAACTGCCTCGCACATGCCGCTTGTCTTGCAAGCCTTACCCGCTCGGGTAAGGCTTGAAGAAGGCATGGAAATGTTGAGACTTATACTCCGTTTCATACTTAGTATGCAACTCTGTCAATGGTACTGGCGCGTGCGTGTGGCTTTATTTACGGTTTCATTTGCGCAAAAACGCGTGCAAATGGTCCGTGAGATCCAACCCCATACTTGCGCCAACAGCTTTGACAGTGTTGTACACTAGGTATAAAACAGAGTATACATATAATATGTCACGATTCCCTTCTCTTCAAAATAGCAGCGTCACTGCTATTTTGAAAGTGCTGTTGTGGCTAGTTGGTGCATCAATTTGAATTAGAATTTTAATATTAGTGATCCTGGAGGCCAAATGAAGACGATTTAAGCGTTTTTCTCAAATACAAAACCGCTTCAGTCTTTTCTTTAATTTCAATTAAAAGCTCTGGCTAGGCGATGCAAGCCGCTGCCTGATTTAAAGGGTTCGGCTGTATCCATGCATGCAAGGAATTCTCCTTGTGTGACAGTGTCCTATGGTGTCTGCAATGGTTCTAAGGTAATCGATCTTCAATACCAATTTTAATAGAAAAATCGGCCACACATGAAAGTAATGTTTGGTTTCTTAGGATGCTTAGACCCCATAAATTGAATTATTGAGTAGTGATAAATTGAGTATGACAATAAATAGACTTTCGCAGAGAGCGGTTTAGTGCCACTTTAAGGCCCGTTTGAGCAGCAGTATGTAACGTGCTACCGGGGCGCACGTCGAGTTACAATCGGAAGTCGCTGGAACATCCGTGCCTCGTGCGATAAACTCGGAGAAGCACAAAATATGCTGCGAATAAACTAAGCAAATGCTGAGTGCAAGCGTGTAATGTGACTCTGCGATGTCACGCAACACCAGTGTCACGTGGCATCAGGGTGTCGAGCAATATAGCTCAAATAACCTTACCTATATGTGGGTCGAGCGTAACAGTCGAGCAACCATGACAATTTTCTCACAAATTTGAGCGTGATAACGCATTCTGCTTTCAAAAAATGCCTTTGGGGAGCTCGATGTCCCTCTCAAATGGAATCGCTCCCCAAACTGTCGAGCGAGCTGAAACCATTGTTTCAGCCTCAGCCTATGCAATTCCTCGGGGTGATCAATGGCCAAGCGTGTCGACACACAGCAGCTCAAGGGATGAATACCCACCCCTGCTTGTTTCGATACAGATGAGCATTGTACCGGCATTGTGCCAGAGGGAGGAGTTCGGATGTCCTGACCCCCCCACTTGAATTCCGTATGTGTAAAATTTAAGGGTGGGGAAAAGGGGAGGGGGTATCTTTTGTCAAACGTCCGATACGCCAACCCACCCCCTCTGGAAACGCCCGTGTCCGCCTCTGCGGGTCACTGCTGCGCAACGACGTCAAAGACCCCAGGCTAGCAGTAGCATGTTCGATTTGGCTTTTGCTTCGTTTACACATTTCATCGAGCAAGACAGGATCCGGTGGCCACGCACCGGGGGGCGGCCGGTCCAGGCCGCTGTGCGAGGAGGAGGTGCGGGGCGGCGGCAGGGGGGCGTCCTCTCCCACGGGGCTCAGCTGGCTGGCGTCTGCCACCCGCTCAAAGCCGTTCAGGGTCACCCGCTGCTGGGGTAGACAGGTACTCCAGTTGGTCGGGACGTTGACCGTGAGAACCCGACACACCCAAAGACAATGCTGCCGCAAGCGCGGCCGCCACGCGAAGGGACGGGGTTCGAACCCCGCTTACCCCGGTTCTCACTTTTGTCAAACTTTACTCTTCCGCAAGTTTCCGGCCCGTTCTTGGCCGTCGTCCCGTGTTCTGGTTTAGAGCATTCTCAGCATACCGCGTGTACGAAAGCGACGGATACGTGCCACTTCAGATGGTCGCCCTCCCACCAGCGACACAGAATGCACGGTTGTCTTATTTTAGCGTAAAGTGCAAGTTTTTCTCAATAAACATTTGTTCTTAGCTTCCATGTGAATCTATGTTTTTGTCTGTGACAATACAGTCGTGTCCAGTTAATGTAGACCCCGTTAATGTGGACACTCCGCTAGATAGACAACATTTTCGAGGACATACTAGATAAATATCTGCCCTTTTCTCTTTATTATGAACGATTTTTGGGGGAAACGGAGGTGTTCATTGTAAAAAGACTCGACTGCACGGGCTGTGTTCCAGGCCTTACTTTTTTAATTACTCCCAGAGGGTCATATCACATGATAACACAAAGATTGACACCGAGGTTTTAGAACATGAAAGCACAAAACCTTTACTCTGAAATGAGATATTAAAAAGCTTGGAACACAGCCACTGGGTACTTTCGATACCCTAACTCTGTCTAAAATAGAGACTGAAAAATCGGTGCTTGCACGTTGCTATATTAAAATTTTTACCTTCAAGTGCAATTGTAGTGGTGCGTTTTACCTCGTGAAAGCTCAGGGCATAGCTCCCTTCCTGTGAAAAATGCGATCAACAAACTTGCCAGGGTCAAAGGCAATGGTTGACGCTTAACGAAGCTTGCAAATATGGCGCCACCTCCTGATAGGTGCAAAGACGCATGTTGTCTCAACATGCTCGGACGAAACCAGACGACCTGGTTGAGTGCTTGATCCGTCCGTCGGGTTGACCGTGGCAAGTTTGCTGGACTAATTTTTCAAAGGGGGAGCTACGTCTTTGACTTTCCCAAGGTAAAATGCACCACTTAAGTACACCTTCAATGAAAATTTAAGATTGCAAAGTTCAGGCCCCGATTTTAGAGCTGGCCTCGGGACATGCTTTTTCTGCCACATGATGTAATGAATTCACATTTTTGTATTCTTTTGTACATGTATTTTTGAGTTTCTCGTTTACCTCAAGTGCTGAATTTCCCCTACACTGACATTTGAACGCATTTGAGTGCAGAGCATCGTCCCTGCAATAGGGAGCGACTGCTTACGGTATGACGTGTGCCGTTGTGCAGCACGCCGCAGTGAGATGCAAGGAAGTTGAACTGTGCTTGAATTTCCAACGCGGCTGCAATTACGAAGTGATGCGGCAGACCAGTTGGAAGCCGAGAAAGAGAGGGTCACGTGCTCGGCCGCTCCCGTCGGCGACGCGCGTCTAGTTCCCCGTTTAAAGAAGGAATCTTGCTTTTGCTTATTGGGAAGCGGTGGGGGCTATGGGAGCAGGTTATTCCGAAACTGCGACGGTTTAAGCCGGACAGGAGTCGCGCAAGCATGTAGGATCGCCCCGAGACCGGCCGCCTCGACGCTGTCGTCAAGTGCTGCCACGCTGCAGTGGATTTCGCTCACTGTCGGTAAGCTGCAAACGACGATGGCGCATTCTTAATGGCTCTCGACTGCGGTCAACCGCGTTTCGACGCAACTCCGCATGCAAGCTTTGCAGAAACGCCCTCCGCAATGATCAGGAGCCGCCTGCCATGAGCGAATGCATTGTGCTCGAATGCAATTGTGCGTGTGGGCCTCGAGGAACTTCCGAGTGCTAAAAATAAAGCCCGCAACTTACCTCGTTGTCTGCGTCGGGCAGGATGACTTCCTTGGAGAGCGCTGCAAGTACAGGGTGCCAGAGGTAAGTGCAGGGTGAGCAATTCTCCCAGGGACCATGTTCTAAGAGCTCGCTCGCTCATAGAATGATAGGCACAAGGTCGCGCCTCAGTACCACCGGGACTAACTAGCGTAAAGTCCAACGGGCGCCGACCCCAAAACGTTGCCACTCCTTTAAAGGGATGCAATTTTCTGTCAGAAGGACCTTCAACTGCCACGCTTTCATAACAACAAGAGGTGCTGGAGCCCCAAATGGGGTCGGCTAGAGGGAAATACTGGGCCATGCCTTCAATAGGGTTCAAGTACTCCAGAGCCTTTAAAAAATTTTGGAGGACCAAGACGAGCGATCGGCTATTTTATATGTCTTTGGAATGAGCTCAAAGAGAGCAAGCTATCTCCCGGAGTTATCTCTGCAGTGGCAGCACTGCTTGGATGCAGGATGTCCCCCGAAAACCCGCCTTTTAATACAAAGAAACTGCATTTGTTTGGGGTACCCTAACGCGCAACGCAGCAAACCTTGACGACAATCTCAAAGAGTATCGAAAGTCTCCTCCTTCACCGCCAAAAGAGTTCTCGAATTTCTTGCCCTCAAAGAAACTCCGAATGTTTTCAAAAGCGAATGTTTTCGGAAGCATTCGGAAAGCAGCATCTGTACGTGACCCAGCAGCCATTCGACGCTACGCTTTCAAAGTTTGCTCGCCGAAACTGCATCTGCCCGTATTGTGACGCCAAAGAAGAATCGTGAGAGGTCACCTTAGCAAATACTAGGGTCACAGGAGTGCAGGCAAGAGTCCTTCACACTTGTCCGCATTTCCTTATTCTGCCTCTGGCAGTGAGCTGGACAGGCGATGCGCGCACCCGGTTGCAAAAAAGCGCATTTTACGGGGGACGCATTTTTAGAACACAGGAATCGAATCGATATCAAATGTCAGCCTAACCTTTTTTTATTAAGACGAAAGCTTGGGTGAGTTGGTCATTCATATTTAAAGATGTACGGCACAAACATTTTAATGCAAAAATATATGTGTTTAAAAATATATTTTATTAAGGATAGATAACTGGGCGAGTTGGTATGAGTTCATGTTGAAAAACACCGTGACTGGGACGAGGACACAAAGAGAACACAAGACACAGCGCTGACTATCAACTGGTTTAGTTATTACAACATGAGGAAGAACGACAATGAAAAGAAAAACATGGAGTCAAATGTTCGCACGCTTGCTTGGCGCCTCATGAAATACATTATTTCAACACCACGACCAAACATGCCGAGAGATGCTAAAAGCCTACAACATCACGAAGAACAACAGTTCATGTGTGAGCCAACCTTCGGTGACTCTGACTCCCAGCGAGATGAAGTTTTTGGATCCAGGGTCTTCTGAGGAAAGAAAGAAGAAAGCCAGTCTACAATCGGATGAAAAAAGAAGAAAGGGACATATTCCACGAGGCGCCAAGCAAGCACGCGAACATTTGACTCCATGTTTTTCATTTCATTGTCGTTCTTCCTCTTGTTGTAATAACTGAACCAGTTGATAGTCAGCGCTGCGTCTTGTGTTCTCGTCTCTTTGTGTCCTCGTCCCAGTCACGCTGTTTTTCAACATGAATATATTTTAGTCCTCTAAATTGGAACGCTGAATATTGGCCGATGCCGACAATCAATTTAAAGGGCTCTGCTGTACCCACACTTTCATTCATTCGGAACACCGGAAACAGCTTGCTTTAGTTTACCCATTCCCAGCCTCGTGCATTGCCGCAAAAGTTTGTGTTTCTCTCTTTTCCAAAACAGTCCAGTTTTAATGAATATTTAGTTTAGGTTTAGCACTTGTCTTGTCTACCGCTTAACTCTGTCCTTGTTTGCCAAGTACTTTATCACCAAGTTGCAAGTCCGCCACTACCATGTACTCACGAATCGGCTAGCAAGCTCACCATCATTTAAGCAGCACCCCATCTGCTGCCATAAAACATTTTCATTTACCCCGCAAAATATTCATCCCAATTTCAACACGGTGAACAAGCTCCTATAGTTTTAATAACGTCACCAAAAATCTCGTCTGAAATGGTGAAGCTATTATCTCCCAGTCCAGCAGTTAAGAAATCGGTCAATCCTTTTGTTTCATCACCAACAGAATGAGACACCTTTTCGCACTCTTCTCCACCACTCAGAAAAAAAAAAGAGCATGCCACAAGCGTGCAAACGAGGAATATGAAAGTGCGTCAAAAGGCTCGTGGGCAGTGGTTTCCCGGGGATGTCTACACTACTCACTTCAGAGTAATCCAGCAAACGGCAAAATCTACGGCCCCCGGGCACCAATCAAAGTGTCGGAGGGAGGCACACGGGTGTATCAAAGTACCTATTCAGCCAACAGAGTGCATTTCAGCCCCGAAATACACCCCGGTGCCTACCGCTGTAGCTTTGATTCGCTAGCGGTGGTCACAGTATTCACCGTTCGCCGAGTCATGCCCAAGCCAAGCGTGGAAATGCATCTCTGTATCATCAGACACGATGCATCCGCCAGAAGATATCACCTCCGGACAACAAAGGGCCACGCTCGGATGGGGGTACCCTTCAGAGGGATTGCCGGACCCTCTAAGCGGAAGCTCCGCGGGAGCAGCGACTCACAGAGGCGTCCCAAGCTCAGCCGGCGTCGCAACCTCTGCATGCGAGACACAGTCCGCTCCCTCAGGGGCTCTGCAAAGAAAGGCGCTTCGATCAATCTATCAATGGCATTTAATTTTTGAGATGCAAGTTACAAGTTGGCGTGAAACCATCCGAGCCCCTAGCCATCTATCGACGATTGGATATACCCGACAAGGCGTGATGCGGCGCGCAGTCGACGCGACGCTTGTGCCGTCGCAACGCTGACATAACTAATGTTCCCTGTTTTTGTAAAAGAAAAATAAATATATAAACTTAGAAAAGTGACTCCCAAACCGATTTTATAGAAATCGGGAAAAACCGAGCAACCCTGCATTGGAACTGCCCTGGAATGAGAGAAACCTAAGCTTCACGGGAGGAGGAGGAGGACAAAACATATTTATTAATCGTTTTACGCTGTGGGGTGGATCCTCAATTCAGGTACCCATGTGCCGTCCTGGCTCGATCGGCCCTCTCCACCAGCAAGAGCTGATCTTGAGCGAGGGAGCTGGACAGCAGTGTCTCCCACTGCTCGGGGGTAGGGGAAGGAAAAGGGGGTGACATGTCTGGGTTGTTGTCGCACTCCCATATGATGTGTCTCAGGGTGCCGGGTTGGTTGCAGAATTGACATTGGGCATCGAATTGTGTGGGGAATAGCAGGTGCATCCTAATTGGATGGGGAAATGTGTTAGTCTGTAGTAATCTGAGTGTGGTTTCCTGACTTCTCGTGAGGGAAGGGTGTGGTGCGGGTAATGTTCTTCTGTTGAGCCTGTAATGTTGTGTAATTTCTTGATAGGTCGTGAGGGGTGTGGGTTCCAGTGTCTCCTCCGTGGCCTGGTGGGCGAGGTCTCGGGCCGTGAGATGGGCGTGTTCGTTGCCTCTCATGAAGGAGTGGGCTGGTGTCCACACAATGTCGACCTGCCTGTCCGGTGCCTTGTTTTCTAGGATACGTAGCGTGACAGGTGCCACCCAGCCCGACTGGAAGCTACGGCATGCCTCTTGCGAATCCGTGATTATTGTGGAGGTTTTCGTTTGTGTCAGGGCGAGGGCGATAGCAAGCTCTTCTGTTTCTTTAGCCGTTCCCCGTGGGACAGAGGCACTGGTCAGGTACTTCTGCCCGTCTGTCACCACGGCCACCATGGCTCGTTTGCCGTCGTAGTTGGCTGCGTCGGTATACGTCGTCGTGGGTATTCTGGAGTATGTCTCATTTAGTGCTCTTGCTCTTGCTGCTCTGCGGCCCTGATGGTGGTTCGGGTGCATGTTTCGTGGGATTGGGTAAACAAAGATGTGTTGGCGCCACGATTCCGGGAGTGCCAGTGGCAGGGTCTGGTGCCGTGGAACCCGCTTGAGTTTAATCAGCAAGTTGCGGCCGGTTTGAGTGTGACCGAGTCGTGTCCTTTGACTTGACAAGTGGCCCTCAATGAGTTCCCCCACGGTGTTATGTAGCCCCATACGAAGTAGCTTGTCCGTAGATGCGTTCACGGGTAATCCGATTGCCTGTTTCAGCGTCTTGCAAATGAGCACGTCGAGCTTGTCTTGTTCCGCTTTACTCAGGGTGACGTAGGGAGCAGCGTAAGTTATGCGCGAGAAAACGAAGGCTTGAACTAACCTGACCGTATCGCTCTCTCTCATGCCTCTGTGTCGGTTCGTGACTCTGCGTATCATATGCATGACTTGCTCAGAGGTTTTACTGAGCTGTTGCACCATTGCGTCGTTCTTGCCATCCGCTTGAATTAGCAAGCCCAATATCCTGAGGGACTTGCTTGGCTTGATGTGGTGCCCTTCGAGAGTGACGTGGATGTTGTCGTCGTCCTTCTTGGTTCGCCGTCTCCTCACCACGAGAAGCTCGGATTTCTGTGGCGAGCAGGACAGTCCGCAGCTTTTTGCGTATTGATTCACCGTCTCGGCGGCGAGCTGGAGCGTGTCCTGCAAGCCTCCGAGGGAGTCGGTGCCCGTCCAAAGGGTGACATCGTCCGCGTAGAGGGCATGGCTTAAGTTCGGTATTCGTCCCAACTGCTCAGGGAGGCCCAGGAGCGCGATGTTGAATAACAGGGGGGACAGGACCGAACCTTGGGGAGTCCCTTTGCATCACAAGTTGATGGGTGCTTTGGAGGTGATGTCCCCGATCTTAAGTATGGCTGTGCGGTTAGAGAGAAAGTCACTTATGTAGTTATATGTCCTTTCCCCGCAGCCTGTCTTGACTAAGTTTCGGAGGATCGCCTCGTGTGCTACGTTGTCGAACGCTCCCTTCAGATCTAGAGCAAGGATGGCTCTCGGGGAGTTACGTGTGGCTGGGACAAGGATGTCCTCTTTCAGTTGAATAAGCACGTCCTGGGTACCGAGGTGTTTCCTGAATCCAAACATCGTGTCCGGCATTTGTTGCGTTGCATCGAGGTGGTTCTGAAGTCTCTTCAGTATGATTCTCTCCATGATTTTGCCAATACAGGATGTAAGAGAGATTGGTCTTAGGTTCTCAATATGTGGCGATTTGCCGGGCTTTGGGATGAAGTGTACCTCCGCCATCTTCCATTGGTCCGGGATTTTTCCTGTCGTCAAGAAGCTGCTAAAGTGGCTGAGCAGGGTATCCATGGTGCGGTCGTCCAAGTTGAAAAGGAGCTCATTAGTGATTTTGTCTGGACCCGGGGCACTGTTCCGCTTACTATCCGCTATTGCCTCTCGTAGCTCGTACAGTTGGATATCTTTGTCTAGTTCTTGATTGGGCGATCCGTCATACGAAGGGGAGGAATAGACTCCCCCCGTCGGGAGGTACTTCCTTGCCAGGTCCTTCAGGAGTTCTTCGCTGCTACCCGCGTAGGCATTGAGTGTGCGCGTCATGTTTCTGTTAGACTCTCCTCTACTTTTCAGGGGGTCGATTAAGTGCCGAAGCAGATGCCATGTTTTCTTTGTGGTCAGGGTGCCTTGTAGGCCGTCGCATTCTTGTAGCCAATTCTCCTAGCATAGCGCAGCTGCGTATTCAGCAGCCTGTTGGTTTATGAGAGCTATGCGCTTCTTGAGCGTTCTGTTGTGTCTTTGCCGTTTCCATCTTCTTGTGAGGCTGCGTCGTGCTTCCCAAAGATGAAGTAGTTTAGGATCTACATACGGTGTTCTGTATGAGGTGGCAATAGTCTGAGTGTGCGTTTCGGAATCTTTTAAGGCCTCTTGGATCAGTTCTTCGTAGGAGAGATTTTGATCGAGATCTTGCGAGTTTCTGTCCTTGCGGAAATTATCCCAGTTGGTTATGCGGGCTGAACCGATGTGGGCCTTGTAGCTTTTGTCCTTAATTAAAATATGGATTATGTCATGGTCCGATCCTAGGTTATCCTGTGTATTAGTCCAGGTAATGTCCAGAGTTCCTGCCAATAAAGTAAGGTCGGGGCTCGTGTCTCTGGATACGCTGGTGCCCGTTCGGGTAGGCGTTTGGGGGTCATTGAGCAGGGTTAGATGGTCCTGTTCGATGGATTCGACTATTGCTTTTCCTTTTATGGAGTTGTGAGTGTATCCCCATAGTCGGTGTGGGGCGTTAAAGTCCCCCACGATTAAAAGGGGTGAGTCCTTTGCTATTAATAGGGCTTCCCGAATAACTTCTCGTATTCCTGGTTGCTTCCGCGATGGCCGGCAATACATATTGAGTATGAACAGATTAGATTTTTTCTTCGTTGACTTCGAGATAATTTCTACGAGCGTGTGCTCGCACTACTTCTGCGTCGTGAGATGTTGCATTGCCGCAATGCAACCTTTTATGAGAATGGCTGTGGATTTTTCGGTTGGGTCAGCATAGGTGATGTATCCTGGAAGATGAGGGCTTCTATTTGTTTCTTGTAAGGCAACTATTTCTGGCTGAGGGTCTAGGGAGGAGACGTATTGCTGGAGTGCTCCCTGCTTGTCTTTTATACCTCGGCAGTTCCACTGAAGAGCCACCGTACCGTTCGTGTTATTGTTTGGGCGAGTCGTCATATTGCTTGGTTGGGTCCTTGCTTTCCACCAGGGATTCTCGTTCGTACGGGGTGGGTCTGCGGCCACTGCGTGGGTTTACTGTTTCAAGGTGTTCGATGCGGATGGTGTGGCGCTCTATTTCTTGCTTAAGAGACTGTACATCTTGTTTTAGGTCACGCATATCTTGCTTTAGGGGCTGCACATCTTGGTGTACTGTTTGTATATCTTGTCGTAGGGCATTGTGTTGTGCATCCAGGCGTGTGGTAAGCGGCTCCAATATGGATCTTATGGTTGCCTGAAACCACTGGGGTTGAGCGACTTGTGAGGCATCTGGCGTATGGACCTCGCTCGTCGCGGGAGCCTGGGGTGTTGTTTTTTGTGCGTCGTTATTTGGGGATGGTGGTGGTGGAACCACATCCATTTGTGTTTGCTCCCTCTCTGGGCGGTTTGGTTTCTTGCGTTTGTCTGTAGTGTTCCTCATCTGGGCTTTCTCTATTGTTTCTAGTCTAGCATGGAGTACTGCTATTTGTGCTTTGAGTTGTGTGCATTCCGGACACGGTACAGGTGAGGGTGTGGGTTGGACTGGTGCTGGGGGTTTAGGAGTACTGGGAGCAGTGGGAGACACAATTTGTGTCCAGCTGACTTGCTTGTTGTTGCTCTCGCGGGGCCGGGGTTCCCTGCTCCGGGAGGTAGACTGGGACCTTGGGCCCGAGCTGCTACGCCGCCTTCGAGTCGGGGTCCTGGAGCAGTCTCTGGGCCGCCCGCGTTGCGGTGTCGGGTCCCTCCGCACGGCTCGCTCTCTCGTCTGCCTCGCGAGCGCTCTCCGTCGGAGAACGTAGGGCTCAGAAAACCGCTTGGGACAGCCCCGAGCCGCCGTGAGGTGAGGTCCGTCGCAGAGGATGCACAGAGGTTCGTATGTGTGGCCCTCGTGAGGGTCTCTGAGGCCGCACTGGTGGCACACATTGACTTTTGGTTGTGGACATGCCGTGGATCGATGTCCGGCTTCGTGGCATACGGTGCACGCGGGAATTGTCTTTTTGTACAGCGAGACAGGGTACTCCCCGCCGAATAATGTCACGAAGAAGGGTACCTTTAGCCCCGCAAAGGTGAGTATTACCATCTTGGATTGGCCCAGTCTACGGCAGGTGTAGATTTCGAACTGGCTTTGGTCGGAATTCGCGAGGATTTCGGCGTCGGAGAAGCGCAGCGGCACTCCCCGAACGAGTCCCTTGGATGAGTCATCGGGCGCCAGGCCATACAGGGTGACCATATGAATGGTGTTGCCGATCTTGAGTTGTTTCAAGTTTCCTAGGGCCTTGGCTGCATCTGAAGAGGGTGTGCTGATTGTGGCCGTATTTTGCGTGGCATCCACGCGAACCCTAAGATTGGCTTGGCGCCACGTGAAGTTGATCGAATTCAACAGAGCCAGGGAAACCTCGGCTATGTCCAGATTTGCAAGCTTGAGGCCGTCTTGTGGGCGCAGAACTAATTTAAAATCATCGCGGGGAAGTGGATTGGGCCTGGGGGCGGCTTTGCGTACTGGCAGGGCAGTTGGAGGTTTGGGCATGGCGGTTGGGCCTACCTCATCGTCGAGCTTGCGCTGGCGTCGCTTCTGTGCCTTGGTGACAACATCGATCCAAGTTGAGTCATGTTCTGACGAGAGCTCCGAGTATTCACCTTCGTTGGAATCGTGGTTCATCGCGATATCCTCTTCGTCGTTTGAGTTGGGGCTAGGGCAGTCCGCGACGCGGCCCCCGTCGGCGGCGGACGAGCCCGACGTTGGGAGTAATCTTGCGAAGTTGGTCACAGAAAAGTTTCCACGCATACACTACAATGAGCTGAGTCGGCTGGTAGCGTTGAAGTCTGGCTGGAATCCGATTTTCCTCACAAATAGTTGAAAGACTGCGGAGCTCATGCGAAATGCGTCCACTCCGCCGTGAGTCTTCGTCTTTTTCCGCTTCACGGGAAGAAATATTCATCCACAACTTTGTTTTGGGTTAACCCTACCGAACTGACCCAAGGCTGTAATAGTTATAGTAATCTTTGTTGACTCAGGAGAGCCGTGGCACCGCGGAAAGGCGACAGCCCATACCATCGAGGTCCGCAGTGCTACGTCTAAAGATGATGATTATGAGATGGCACATACATCTTGTTCTGTTTTTTTTTTTTTGTTCAGGAATAACGCCTCCTTATCTCGTTTCCTCGCGTCAGGACACACATGGTCCCTGCAGCTTGGGGCATCCCACGCCCTGCTTTCTGCAAGATAAGCCTCGATAAATGCCAACATTTTGTGTCACACCTAAAATCAACACCAAGGACGTAAAATCTAATGGAAAATATAAACCCCCAAAAAACGCTTTCAAAATTCAAACTCGAAAAAAAAAAAGAAAAAAAAAAAGGCACACTGAAACACAAAATATTAAAGATAAAGTCATACAAGGTCAGAAATGGCCACCTTCTCAAAGTTTGAAAAACCAGGCCGGCACAACATGCAGCCCACACAGACATTTCTGAAGCCTTTGGCAACACTCTAAATTGGAGCTTCTAGCAAAACATAGCCAATAACTAGAATTCCGTGCCTTCTGAGTTTATTTTTCGTCAAATTTGGAGGGTGTTTTTCGGAAATTCTTTTTTGTCGAAAATTGGGAGTTTATTTTTGCTGGATTCCGAATTCTCCAAAATTCTGAGTTTAACTTCTCTGTATTTCCTATTAAAAATAAATAAATAAATAAATAATATCCAAGTGAAAACGTATACTAGATAAAAGAAAAAGAAAATGCACTTGTATATATTAATATGTTTACACCTGGATTTGGCGTTGGTGCCATTGCCACTGGCAAAACTAATTTGTTCCATGAAAAATACTGCACACAAGTGTTCCTTCGATAAATGTCAGTACCTTAAAATCAATTTACTCCTGCAGGTAGTCTGGAAAGCTCATATTCATCCTATTCATCCTGCCCTCGAGATCGAAGTCTTAAATCTAGTAAGTCGGTGACACTTCAGCGTCCCGAAAAATTAGGTATACACGTGCTATGAATTACTACCAATTGCGTGTTAAATTTTGCGGACCCCAATGCGCGTAATGCGCTTCTCAGTGAGCGATTTCAAATTCTACTTAATGATTCTTAGTAAAAATTGGATATAACAAATTAATAAATCGCCTGAATTTGCTGGATGATGTCCAACAGTTTAAAAATTTATAAAAATTTCAGCTTTTTTTCGAGCAGAAGTTGCCATGTGACAATCATATTCGATGCGGGAGGAGTTAAGCGTGAGGTTCTGATGAGTATTTGCTCGCCAATGACTGTCGAGTCAGACTTGAATAGAAGTGTCGGTATCGGCAAGCTCAATGTATATGCTTAAAAAAAAATGTGTGGCACTTTGGAGCACAACTGTTCCCGCGTGCAACGCTAAGACGACAGCACATCATTTACTCTGGTGAATGCAAAACCTTTTTCTACAGCAGCATCCACACATCCTAAAAAATATTTAAAAACAAGCCTGAAGCTCCAGGCTTGTTTTTAAAAATTTTAAGGATGTTTAAAAATAAAAATTAACTTCAAGGCACTGTTATTCATTCACAAGATCAATCACAAAAACGTCATACACGTTTCTTCAGTAAATAAACCATTTTTAATCGGCAGAGACAAACTAACATATCCACTTCGTGCTTTCACATAGTGCACCGTCTGCTCGCATCCTACCAGCTCAGTCACAAGAGGGCACCAGAGAGGTGGAGCCACGAAAACATCTCGTCGCCAATACTAATGGCAGCCTTTTGGTGCAAGATGAAGGAAGAAGTTGAAAATTCACTCAAGCAGATGACGAAAGCCCCATGCATTTGAGACGCTAGTACAAGGCTCAAGGAATACAAAAGCCGCATAAACATTTACTGTGAACCTTTTCACAATGGAATTCTTTTTAACATTTTTTCGTGGTTGGGGATTGTTTTTGAAAGGATAGTACAAAGCAAAGTCAGTGTACAGTTGTCATTTTTCTTTTTGTCATTTAATGAGAGAATGTTCAATGCTTGCAAGCTGTTCAGGTTGAGAAGCATCGAATGCAAACACAAAGGGAGAAATGTAGTCGCCTTTCTGCCCTTCAGTTTCCCTTTGATGTGCCCGCTTCTGCGACATTCCGGCAGTCTCCGATTCTGAACCCGAGGCACTTCACAAAGCTTCTCCATAGGCTGATGAGCTCTTGTCTTCTGAGTTTAATTCTGAGAAGTGTGAAAAGTCTGAACCAGAAGAGCCAGCCATTCTGGCCGGTCAAGCAATCCAATGAGCCAATGGAAGTTCTCATTTCCAAAGGCTGCACACTGTATGTACTCAATAAGAGTCAGCATTCATGAATTGGTACAAACGTAAAAGCCATGTTTGAACAGTCCAAGACATTTCCTGTCCAAATGTTCCCAAGGTTTTAGGTCCACTGCACAAACAGTGCAAGCAAGAAAATCTCCAAAAAGCCATCCCATAGCTCTCGATAGTCCGGCACTCATCCCTAAGGCCATAATTAGGAATCCAGAATCTCCCGGTATTCTTTTAAGATTTTCGTTAAGGCGAGTACCAACCCTAACGAGGAAAGAATGGGCTCATGGTGCAGCAAGGAAGCTCAGACATCACGTAATGCACTCAATGGTGTAGTCAAAAGAGAATGGTTGTCAATGTGTGACATTATCTAAGTTCCGCGTTTGTGTCAATCAGTTTTCTTCAAACAGAGGGGTGTTTTTTTCTCTGTATATTTTATTCAACAAATTCTGCGTTTTTCGTTGTCAAGAACAAAAAATAGCCGTTTCTCGATGCTAACACTTAAGAGGAGACGATGGCATTCTCCGTTCTCCAAGTGCGAGCGAGCACTTGGAAAACGTCCGGGTACTGGTGAGTGAGAAGAACAAGAGGTATGCTTCCAGAAGAGACTAGCAAGCAGCAGCCTTATGGACAGACAGCTCGCTGGGGGATGTGCTTCGATTCAAGACAAAATAAACATGTAGATAATTATTTCTTTCTGTGAAGCTTGGATTTTTCTTGTTCTTATACTTTCTCTTATACTAGGGGCTTTCCAGCTCACCCTGATGTTTTATAAAACTGGCTCGGGGCCGGGTTACTTTTCAGAGTTTATCCGTGTATATTCATCTGTATGTACCAAAAAATAAACTGCACAACACTTTCCATAGATGTGAATGACTCCCGATTTACCACTGCTGAGCAAGAAGAGGCCACATGGCCATAATATGACTATCTTTACGCTGAAACAGACTCTCCAGAAGTGGCAGATTACTCAGTTCTAAATATCTTAATCTCCCGAGCTCAAAAAACCCACATTTCTTCTGCAGGGAACATCTCCTCGTTGGCCTATGGCTCCCACTCATATTCCGAAAATGGGCTGTATATATATATATATATATATATATATATTAAATTATAATGCTGCGAGGAGTGAGTACACGTTCACCTCTACCTTAGTTCCTCTTTACCCTCTACCCCCCTGGCAGGAAGTCGGGCACAATCAACCTATCCATTCAATCGTTCTCCGGACGCCTGCGTACGCATGACAACCGCTGCACAACAGAGACTGTCATCGAAGCATCGACCCCCCGACAAAAGTATCCTCACCGCGCTACAACACCACAGCTGCCGCATTTTGACGCGCGACAACCGCAGTCCAGAGACCCGCAACCCAAAATTGATTGCCGGTATACCTTTTAACTCGTTTATTTTTTAACAGTGTATCCTAGAGGGGAGCCTGACGGAGCCACGGATCCACTCGACGGAAGAAAAAACACCGAGTCGGTGTTCTCTTTCGCTATTTCCCCGCCGCAAAAGGCTCCGAGCGAGTTGAATGGAGGATGTCAACCACTCGCGTGAACACGGGACAGGAACCCTGCCGCGCGGTCGCCTAGTCGGAAGCGGAGAAGTGCGCTGGTCGCTCGCGTGGCCGGCTCCCCGCGGCACGGCAGATCCGCCGTGGACAGACGGATTGACGGGCCTAGGCCTAAGCGCGATGACGGACGTACTCACCTTGTCGCGTCGCCGGCGTCCAGTTCTTGCTGGTGGTCACGGAAAGCGCCATGCTGGCGCCGATGCCCGCATACGGGGGCAGCAGCACCAGGCCAGCAACACACTCACAGCTGGCACAGCGCTGCTGTGGCGTCGCCTCTCCTGCCTGCCCCTCCTCCGCTCCGCTGCTCGAAATCTGCTGCACCATCCGCCGGAGGCGCGCTACGTCGATAGGTGCGCCGCACGGCCGCACGGGTTGGCCAGGGCCAGGTGAAGCATGGGGGCGAAGCCGTGAAGCGCAGGATCCTCTCTATGCCATTTACGCTTTGCGCAGGAGTGTGCGCGGCATGGGCCGAAGGGCCGAATTTTTGCCAACTTTTTGCAAAAATTTGGCAAAAAAAAAAAAAAAAAAAGAAAAGCAAGGTTGCCAGACTAATTCGGAGAGCGAGTCGTCTGCTTCTTGCGCCTAAGTTGTGGTGACGTCAGAACGACGCCAAGCTCTTATTGGCCAATTGAAAAAAGGAAGAAAAAAAATAGTGGGTATACCTCAAAGCACCGAGGTCTACCCGCTATTCTTTCAAGCAATGCCAATCAGTGGTCGGCTTCGCTCTGACGTCACAGCAACTCGTGCGCAAGAAGCAGACGACCTGCTCGACGGCACCAGGCGGTGGCTGCACGAACTAAAAATCGAGGAAGTGACCTTCCTGCGCTACCAATCGATAATGGGAGCTACGCTACCACTTGCTCCGCACTCTGAGCTGCGTCGCGTGCCCAACGCAACTTTAAAGAGGGAAATCCGTAGCGTCCACCCAAACGTCGTGTTTTTCTTTCCGTCTACTTTCTTTTCCTGTGTAACACAATTATATATATGCTGCAATTACGTGTTCTACTCGTCGATCTACAGCATCATTCCGAATTTCCTCGATTTTTCGTTCCGACTTCCACCGCTTGGCATCGGGCGCTCGCGCGTGCGCAGAACGCTTCTCGGAAAAGGTCCATTGAACATAGTTTTCGAACGACTGTTCACGTATCCCGGACCTGCATGCTCACAGATTAGCACAGCCCGTTCTACACCAAATAAACAATCATCCATAACAAAAAAAAAAAAAAAGAAGAAAAAAAAAAAAAGAAAAAGAGAAAGGACGTGTTTACAAGAACAGTTTACCCTGCGTGACTCAAAGGGATCGCTGGCCGTTTGAAGGCACTAGGATTTACTTTTTCTTATTATTACATCGCGCTAGGATTTACTTCACGGGTGTCTGAAGTTAGTGGAAGCTTTCACTAAAATTGTGGAAAGGTTGGCTCACCTGAGTAAATTAAAAAAAAAAAAAAAAAAACTATGTTTTTCTTATACTTTGCGTGCAGACAAAAAAATCGTACGGGCCACCGTGGCGCTTATTTGGCCCAAATAAAGTGAAGAATATAGAAGCCAATTCTATTTTATATCCCATTTCACACATTATTTAAACGTTGCAAACGCCAGAATAGCCCACAATAATGTGTTGGTGATTTTGAGATAAAAGGATTAGCAATAATTTTTTCATAGACAAATCCAGTTTTTATTTTCTTTCTTTTGACTCCAGAAGTTTCATGTTTTCATACTCTCAATTAATGAATGCACAAGCTTCGAGCACCTCTGTAGTAAATTTCAGCGCGATAAGTTAAGACCCAACCGAGCGGATGCATCTTTATTACATGTTTAAAAAAGAATGCGACCACGACTTCAAAGCAGTATATTTCAGTTTCGTGCGAAGTTTGCAGTCGCGCATATGCTCATGACCGAAACCGAAACTTCAAAAGCGTACACGGTGCACTGGTGTCGTCTGCTGACATCGGCAGTCCCAAAAGAAAGAACGAGATAGGGGCGCGCGTAGAGCTAAGAAAGAAAGCAGACGAAAGGTTAGAGCAGAGCCTCCTAGATGAGTGTACAATGCCCGTCAGCTCGTGGCTCCGGCAATGCAAAGGCGGCCGGCAAAAAGTGCGTGTGGTTCCCGCGTGGCGGCGCCAGCTAGGCGTACATGTTGTGTTGTGCGGTGAAGCCCATGGGTCTTCCCGAAGCGTCCCGAAGGGAGCAGAAGATTCGCCGGACGTGCTCGGCGGCCAAATATCGGCGTGCACGGCGGCAACTCGGTGAGAACCCCATGAGTCGCTGTGATTGGACTCGAACCCCGGATGAGGAGCAGTATCTCGGTTACAACGCAATCTTAACCTGAGTTGTGCGTAAGTAGGAAAAGCGCTGCGGTATTAATAATTTCGGCCAGCAGGGTTTGCAAGCTCGAACGTCAGAAAAGAGCAAAATTAAGGTCAGGCAAGGCAGTGAAACGTCGGTCGAGAGTTCGGCTTTCTATATTACGCAGTCGCGCTGGTCAAAGGCTTTCTATATAATAATATTGCATCGTGTCTAAATTTTCAGCATGTTGAATTATATAAATAAAAAAAAAAAAAAAGTTAAGTCGTGAGCAGTGATAAGCAAGAATCGAACTCCCAGGTAACACGAAAACATTAGAATAATGTTATTTTTATGTTCGTCCCAAACGTTCGAGGAATGTTCTTAATGTCCGCCTGTATAAAGCTATTTTAACGTTTGGCAGAACATTCTTATAACGTTTTGAAAAACGTTATTTGAACACGTGGAAAACATTTTTGCAACGTAAATACAATGTCCAAAAACATTAGCATAACATTACTGTAAACATTGTAGTAACATTTGTACAACATAAATAATTTTTTTACGCAGCGTTATTACAACAGAAATATAATGTTTACAAAACATTAAAATAATGTTCTGGTAAACGTTATAGTAACATTCAAAAAACATGTTATTACCACATTATAGTCGGTGACAGGTCAAGAACCAAGTAGAAGCTCCTCCCACCTCTTTCCACTTGAGCAGAGCAAACGCCGGAGAGGAGGTCGCCTCCTCTCCAGCGTTCGCTCTACTAAAGAGGAAAGAGGTGGGAGGAGCTTCCACTTGGTTCTTGACCTGTCACCGACTACAGCAAAATGTATGTAAAATGTTCAGAGGAGTGTTCTGAACCATGAAGATAAATATATACTGTAAAAGTCTGGTTGAGACAGTTGTGCTTGACTGCATTGCCAGGGCTGTTGCCGAGAGACGGTGAATTGCCATGGCAACACCTGTCACGTACGGTAACTCAGTCGTCTTACCAAGGTGCAAGCCCTGCAACACAGTCAAATTAGTGTTTGAAGCAGCCTTAGTTCAGATGTGCCCTACACACAGTATATATATGCCTTTATGGTTCAGAAGTGTTCCTCCAAACTTTGCAGACATTTCACCAGTGCAGTAACATTCTCTTCTGTATCACAAGCTTTAACACTCCTTGAAACAATATATGGTGGGCCAAAACAATTCTACACAGCAATGACACCCTAGCTATTATTGAGTATTGTTTACTCAGAAGATGGGGGCTTTGCAATGAGCATAAAAATGTGAGGCACAATCATTATTAGACCTTTTCAAAACAGCAGATTAACACATTTCAATATTCCACACCAGTGAAAAAACTAAATAAAACAGACATGTATGGTTTGTCTTCGTGACTCTTAACAGTCCCTCCAAACATTTTTTCATAAGAGCAATTGCATTTTTTTTTCGTGAACACTAACCAAGCTAGGTGCGCTTTTTGCTAATACAATCGTAAAAAAAAAAACAAAAAAAACAATGCCACAGTAGCGTGCAACCTCGAACTATGTGTGCGCGTCCTGCCGGTGGCGTGGGGAACTATCCCCTCCAATACTGGCAGATTGCGAGATTAGCGACTATCAACACCCAGTTATATGACCTGCACTGCTGCCGTACTGACAGTCATTTGCCTAAAGTGGCGCACTGTACACTGACATTGAAATGTTTTGTCAGCTGAACAGACAATGCGCTTTTCAAGAACATTATTTGCAACGATGCATGCTTTTGGTTCAATATGGTTGTCGTGATGTGAATCAAAGCTTATTGTGCTTCACTGGAACTGTAGCGAAAACAAAAAGGAAAGACATTCTGTTGCGTTCCGCAATTCCAAGTACACACGATCAGCTTATTCGATACAGATAACCAGCCTTATCGAGATGCAGTGTAGAGAGTGCCACTCTAGGCGTATGGTCTTTAGTATGGTAGCAGGGCGGCAGAGCAGGTCATCTTAACGGATGCTGACAGCAGCTAATTTCACAGCTAGCTGCAGCAGCCATCGATACTAGTTCTTTTCGCTGCCGTCATGAAGTGCGCGAGTATCTCGAGGCCACACGCTCCTGTGGCTTCGTTGAATCTTTCCACGTCTGTACATATATGTCAGAAAAGGATTCTACTCCAAACGGCCTTTTAATTTATGATTATTGTAATATCTTTGCACTCTTCACCCAAAGTTTCAAGTGAGATCTAAGCAGAGAATGATAAACAAGCAAACAAAAGTTGATCTATGTTTATCATTCTCCCAAACTTGTCAAATCTGTTTGGCCATATACTGGTTGTCCCAGTAATTGAACAGAGTGTGATTGTGAGAGGCATAATAATTTAAAATATTGAACACTAAACCATCACAAAGCTTCTTTGTGACAACAGATGTAATCATAAATATAGAAAGACACTTGTTCTGAACATAAACAGCTGTGTGCGCCTCACACTTTCCCGGGGAGGAATAATCAGAAATTCATTTATTCAGCTTAGCCATAATGCCACTCGACACACCACTAATTGAAGAAAAAAGTGTTCCCTTGGTAGAAAGTGTGGGATACAACCATCACCAGATTTAGCACAGCACAAACAAGCTACCATACAGGTGATTAATTTTAGAAGAACTTGTAGTTGGGCTAGTTGGTGAACGTTGGAAATCATAGTGTAAGGCGCAAAAAAGCAATGGACACAAGAGAGAAAACAGACATACAGGTGCCACTCACAACTGTACTTGAAAAGTGCAGAAAGAAAGGAATACATACATTGTCATCTTCATCACGTCTACGCATGCGCTTAGCCATGTGTTAGATGAGGCGTATATTACATGGCTAAGCGCATGCGTGGACGTGATGAAGATGACGATAGATGTATTCCTGTTTTTCTGAACTTTTCAAATATATATAGTTGTGAGTGGCACCTGCATGTCTGTTTTCTCTCTTATGTCCATTGTTTTCTTTGCGCCGAACACCATGATTCCCAGGTGATTAATTGCAGTCTACCCCTGCTGTGAAAGAAAACAGTTTGGTACATGTTTATGAGTACATTTATTGACTCTCCAAATTGGGAACACTGAAGTGTACATGAGCAGCGACAATATTGCTAGACTATGCAGTTAAAATTATTTTCCCTCTAAAAAAAAAAAATTAAAGTGAACAATTATGAAAAAAATTTACACTTTTGAAGAAGCTTGAAGGCCTGTAAATTGGGTT